ATTCCTAAATTTTGGGAAAATCCCCTGACAATTGAAAGTACGCGATCTGGTTAAAACAGACGTAGTTTGAAATAGTATTTAAGCAAAATTTGTTGAATGAAACGTCAAATTCATTCTAGAATAATAAAGGCAGCTTAACAATTTTTTCCTGCCATTTTCATCATTTGCTCTTTTGGCCCAAAGAAAAAATCTGAAAGCTTGGCAGCAAGGTTCCCTGACTTTTGGATCGCGTTGGGCAGAAAGGAACTAAGCCACATCAGCTATTGCCAAATTTAACCAGGCAATTTCGTATTTTACATGAAAACGGCTGTGCAGATTTTTGTGCAAATTTCAGTAAGTTTTCTGCATACTACGAAGGAAATTTCTTAAAATTTTCAAAGGAATCCGCACAAACGTTCTTGTAATAAATCAAAGTTCCCGAGTAAATCTGGCAATACTTGATGTGGCTTGGTTCCTTCCTGCTAAACGTGGTCAGTTTCAGTGATGGACAAAAATCTCTAACATCTCCAGGTTTCCCCGGGAGTTTTCAAGAACCTAAGATCCTATTTCCCAGCCACAAAGAAACCCTACCCTAGGACACCCTGTACAGATACTCTACATAACCCTACAACGAAACTTCCTCAACTCTCTTCGCAGTGCTCCAACCCGCTACGAGGCGAACCGAGCACAGTTCATATTTCTTTTATTAAAAAAAGTTCCCGGAGCCGGTCCCGGGCCAAAATCGATACGGCGCACATTGGATCGAGTCTATTAGCGAGGTCGGACATGAAATTTTTGACTAAAACTACAAATTTTAATATTTATTCCGCCAAATTTTAAATTTTAAGGGGTGTCTGTAGGAGGAATAAAATCTCACGAGGAAACCAATGGAACCACTTTCAGAGCCTCAGTGTTTTGAATAAACCAGGGTTGCCACAGAGGTTAAAAAATGAAATTCCCTGTCATTTCCCTGATTTCCCTGGTAAAACTCCCTGAAAATTGAAAATACACTAAATGGTTAAAAAAACATAATTAGAATAGTTTTCGGGCAAAATTTGTTGTTTGTAATGTCAAACTCATTCTAGACAGCAAATAAAAGTGCTTATCGGTTGTTTCCTGACACTCCCGTCATTTTCCCGAACATTTCCGGGTTTTCTCAGACTTTCTAAAATTCCCTGACATTCCCCGGTTTTCCCGGTATTCCCCGACTGTGGAAACCCGGTTTCAAGGGATGTCTATGGAGGAAAATTTCACGAGAAAACCAATGGAACCACTTTTAGAACCTCAAAGTTTTGCATAAACGGAGTCATGAGCTTTGAAAGTTTCCAAATCGTTCGACTTTTTCAGAAAGTCAGAGAAAACCTGGAAATGTCAGGGAAAATGACGGGAGTGTCAGGGAACAACTGATAAGCACTTTTATTTGCTGTCTAGAATGAGTTTGACATTCCGAACAACAAATTTTGCCCGAAAACTATTTCTAATTATGTATTTTTAACCATTTAGTGTATGTTCAATTTTCAGGGAATTTTACCAGGGAAATCAGGGAACCAATTGGACTGCATTTTGCAATTTGAACGTATAAATTCTGGCTCATCTGAAAAAACACTTATGTGCATTGGGAAACTAATGGTACATACATTGTTTTTAAACCGGGCCGGAATTTATAGGTCCAAAATTGCAAAATGCAGTCCAATTGTCCGACCTCTCTTATTGACTGGATCCGCTGTGCGGCGAGGCGGGCTCCGGCGTCGAGGAAATTGTTGTTTTCCAGGCGGAATGGAATATTACCCGGGCGAGGAGTGCGCGAGTGTGTAATTAGGGGACAAGTACGGGCGGGCATCTCCGGCGGCATGCGACACAGCTATTTCACATGATTAACCCGGACGCCCGTCCATACGGGGGCACCGACGATTTGACGAGGGACTCCATGCCATTAAAATCCAACCTCTAAATTTTTCCCGACTCCGTGGGAAACTCAACGGGGAAAATCGGCTTCAAGTGTTTACTCCGAGCTGCCAGCGGGCTGGTTATGGAAACCGATAGACAAAGCGGTACACAAAGAAGACATAGGGAACATGAACCTATTGGTTCAAACGGGTGGTATACGATGGTCCCTATACAATAAGAGGGAAAGTTATGGACTAACTACAGGGTCTCTCGTGGGTTGGCTTTAGCTAGTCCATTACTTACGTCCCTTTTCTATTGCAATCACTCACTTCCACCAATAGGATGGCTTTATTTTCAGTTCGTCTTCCTTGTCCATCGCTTTGTCTACTAATTTCAATGATCAGCCAGCAGGAGACTGATTATTGAAATTTAGAGACGAAGCTAGAGACAAAGATGACAAAAAGGATATGGAGGGATCTTATTGGTTGGGTGGGTGGACAAATGAGGTGGGTAACATACTAACTAACGGTAACCCACAAGAGACCTTTTAGTTAGTCCATCATTTTCTCCCTTATTCTGTAGGAGCCACCCACTTCAACCAATAGGATCGCTCCGTGCTCCCTACGTCTTTCTTGTCTATCAATTTCAATAATCAGCCCGCGAGGGCGTATTCGTCGTTCTTTGAACGGCTCCTTTTTTAGGAGACTCCATATGGTTTACATTGTGGGAAAATGGGAGGATCTAGCAGAGCTCTCAAAACCTTATCATAGAAAGGACAATTTTTGCTAACCTCGATTAAAATTCACAGTCTAACTTTGGAAATGGATCCATGCGAGTAATAACATTGGTTTACCACTGCAAACAGTACAAATGCGTGAGAAAAATTCTATGATTTTGAAAAACTTCACAGTGAATGCGAACCTACCTTAAAAGTTACAAAACTTGCAAGGTATATTCCCTCGTACTTAGTATTCTTTGCGGGGGTAAATAATGGTAATTCCATTCTAAGACTCTTTTCCAAAGTTACTCTGCAGAAGGTTGGCAAAACTTGTCCTTTCTGTGATGCTGTTTCAAGAGCTTCCTTGAGAGCCCCTTTATCACACTGTAAACCATCTCTTAAGGAAAGGAGCTGTTTATTGGGGACTAAATATAAGTAATTTCTACTGCGCTTAGTAAATGGACTACGTTTTACGATTAGAAACTACAACTTCTGGTTCATTCATAAAAGCACATACGACTACATGGAAACTAATGACACGTGCGTTGTTTTTAAACTGGGCCAAAAATTGTAGTTCCGAACTGCAAAATATGGTCAAAATAATGTATCAAAATTCACGGTTCCACATTCAGCATTCCTTGACGAAAAGTTAAGAAAAATGAAAAGTTAAGAAGAATCGTTGCTGAGTACGCATTTTCCGATTCGGATTATCAGAACAACGGCCAGACTTCATCACATGAGAATAGTGTCCGATAAAATCAGCACTGAAAAGAGAGTACAAATGGGAAAATTAAGTGCACACAATAATATGAGAAGACTATTACCTCTGGTGACTCACCTCGAAGGGGGAAAAATTACGTTTTTAAATACTTAATAAAAAAAAAAATCAGCATACTTAAATCTGATGACCAAATCGCGGACAATGTCTGAGGTGTGAGTCACTTTGCATAATGTGAATTGTGAATAAACTTAGCGAGATATCAACTAAATTCACTTAAGTATGAACAATAATCATCTAATATTATTAGAAAGTCTGTAGATCAGGAGGATTTTTTGAGGATTTACAATCGCAGGACAGAACTTGCAACATGCGAAATTTTAAAATTTTAGACATAGAAATGTCGAAAGTAAACTAATATTCCGAGAAATGTCCTCTTGTCCTGAAATCGTTAATTTATGATTAAATTTATGTTTTATATTTTTTTATTTTTTCTTTCAGGAAAAGTAGGGAACACATCAGAAACTCATGAAACGTAAAATAGGGGGGGGGGGGGCTAACGTTCACACGCGTGGAATATGCGCCCTACATAAGTGGACCTTAGTAGGGAGGATTCTTCCCAAGGAGTATTTTTACCTACAACAGTCTTTCCGTTAGGAACCTAAAAGGAACTGAGTGAAGGATATTATTAAGAATTTTTCTATTTTCTTGTGGGTATACACAAGAAGGTGCCAAAATTGACCTCTATTTCATTTCAGATTTATGAGTGAAAACTTCCTCTGTACGTGTCTCTCCTCCTCAATAGAACATTCATTTAAAATCCGAAAATTAAAAATCGTCTGATATTAGCTTCGGGCGGATTTTGCGCCGAAGTAGGTACTTAAGGCGTAACAGACAGAAAATTTTTGAGTGAAAAAAATTAGCCCACAAGCAACTGCAAAAATTGCCCTCGATCTCGGAAAATTCCATATTTTGCCAAAAAGTAGATACTGCGTGCTTGCATGAATGCTTTTACTCATTACATTGTAACTAATTTACACAATGAAAAAAAAAAAAAACTTCCTGAAAAATCTCCACCAGTTTTTTGCGATATAAGAACTCGCCGACTGATGTAAATTGTCAACCCCTCCGTAGAATAATTTTGTCTCGACTCAGCAATATCTCTCAACTCGGGAGGTCTCGAGATCTCCTTTCCATGAAATGTCACACAATTATATCACTCAAAAATATTTCACTCGGGGGTAAATAGATTTAAAAAATCAAAGAGTCGAGAATTAGAAGAACCTCGATTCAAAGAATCTAAAGACAATGAATAAAGGGATATAATTTCTCTCTTTGCATCAGGCATTCTTCTAACACGCGAAAAATTGAATCAAAATTTTACTCTCATCACATATCGTGCGCACTTTTCATCGATACTTGTTCTCTCTGCGAGGGGACGAAAGCAGGAATAACAGATGGACTCAGTAAAGCAGAAAGAAACCAAATCGTCTTCTTGGGGGAAAAAATCAGTTGGGAAAAATTCTAAACGAATTATTTTTCGCCTGTCGAAAATTCAAAGTCGAAAAGAACAATAAACCAAATGTGAAAACAGGCGTTAAACTCGGAGGGATAAAACTTCGAACCTCTCGTTCTCAAATTCGACTTGGTTACTTTCTGTTAAACTGGGTCCAGATATTAGGTGCAGTGCATACCAACCTGCTGGCTGATCATCTATGGTAATGGTAAATCCTAGCTAAACGTAAATTCAAACGATCAAATAACGACTTTTAGTTTTTTCTTGTAGAAATGGATGGACCAATGATAGTTAACGTGGGAGTCCACACTTTTGAGTTTTTTGATAATGGCTCCTAAGGGTTCCTCCATGATTGCGGAGAGAGAAGAGAGGTTTTTTCCCGCGTAAACAGAACAACACGTGGACTGGATCGTTTGAAACGAGAGTCGAACGCGGAGAAAGGCACCCGAAAAAAGGAGCAAAACAGAAAAGAGATCGAAGCGGAAACTACTGAAAATGGGAGGATGCGAAAAATTAGCGAAAAGCGAAAAAGGAGTGAAATAACTGTGGAACAGTCGAGGAGAGAGTGCGCCCAGCGCGAGTCAACGTGCTCCTTATAAAGGCGTCTGCTTATCGCGCGGGGGGCTGATAAGGGTGATGGAAAACCGGCTTAAGTGACTGATAAGTGATAACTCTTGAGGCCAAGAAATAAGTAGGGTGAACGACATATATGCCAACTTTCGTATTTAATTTGATTCTTATTGCCTCCTGACCCAGCTAATAATGAATACCCAACATCCAGTACGTAAATTCGCGATGAGAATATTTCTTGCTGACACAGAACTGTGACGTTTTCTGCGATATTGCTGTGAATTCGGCTCTGTTTTTACTTGAGAGAGTTGTTCCTGTGGAATAATAAATTTAAAAAATAAGATAAATTAGTTAGTTTTAGGTCTCCACTCTCGTTTTGATCCTAATTGACTTTATTCATTGTGTTCTGATATTGCCCTTCTTGGTCTTGATCTGTCTATTTAATGTGGTTAGTTCATTAAAGTATATCGACGGTGAAAGTCGGCAATCACATAACTCGGTTTGCGACGTCGCAGACTTCCTGTCATACTTTATTTTTTAAATGGAAAACTACTCAACGGCAATTCTTTAAAACTGTCATGATTCTTCTTCTCAATGCGAAGAAAATTCTGCAAAAACTTCAAGAAATAATATCAATTTGTTCTCCTTTAAAAAAATGACGTAGAGGCGGAGATTTTCAGACACCGCAAACGAGTTATGTGATTGCCGACTTTCACCGTCGATATGGATTTTCCGTGCATTGTGTACGTACATACTTAAATAAACCAATATTTTGGGATTGATGTGAAAGATAAAGCTTGCTTCGAAACTGTCAGTTAGCGTCTCAAATCATTTAATTGCATTGTGATATCTTTAGGTACCCTTAAAAACCGTTCGAGGACGTCGCCGCGGACTGCGCGCCTTCAATTTCGGCGGTTAGGCAGATAACCATCCCTCGAGTCGAAATAGTTGCATGCACGATAGCGTGACAAAAATGAAGGCGCAACTGACGGGGCGAAACTCGTGGACCAGCTCGGCGTTAACTACAGTGGCGTGGCGTGAATAATCGATTATCGATATCTCGCCATTAGAAGCTACGGTAAAGAATCGATTACTAAGGTGTTCGCTGCGAACACCCTGAAAATCGATCTTTTTCCACAGGTTTAAATGGCATAACAATCGATACATCGCAATCCACGCCACGCCACTGGTTAACTATCTCACGTGTCGATAAAGATTCATACTCGAAAACAAGAAAAATTGTTGCGTTTCACTAAATTTAACTGTCATGCCGATCAAATCTGCAGTTGATCGTTATCATCAGAATGTGGACCCTAATTGATTAATGGCAGTACTTTAAGTTCATTCAAACATTTTAAAAGCGTTCACAGAAATTACGGACTAGTACTCCCCGACTTTTCCTGCTTCCTCCTGACCTACTTATTTTGAGAGCATTTCTTTAAGCTTAGCTCAAAGAAATCTTTTTGAGATTCGTCGACCCGGTCGGGTGCCAGGGTGTCTACAAAGACAGGCTGGCCAAAAATTAGTACTTTCACAGTTCTTTTCCAGTACATTCCCGAAAAATTCAGTACTTCCTCAACAGAAAAATTAAGTACTTTTTCAGTATCTCCAATTGACGAAATTTCGGAAATTTTAAAAATTCGAATTTCCCGCTCAAATTGCGACAAAAAAGTGAAAAAATTCCAGACCTTCTTGAGGAATTCCGCACTTTTTCAGTAGTTCCGGACCGCCCTTAAAAAATCAGTCCTATTCCCGTACTTTCCGGATATTCCGGACTCGTAGACACCCTGGGTGCACAAGTTGAATTTAGCGTAAAAGTTGTGACGCGAAAAAATCTCGAAAAATTCAGTAAAATGAACAACAGAAAAATGAAGTACTTTTTCAATATCTCCAATTGACGAAATTTCGCAAATTTTAAAAATTGGAATTTCCCGCTCAAATTGCGACAAAAAAATGAAAACATTCCGAACCTCCTTGAGGAAATCCGCACTTTTTCAGTACTTCCGGACCGCCCTTAAAAAATCAGTGCTATTCCCGTACTCTCCGGAAATTCCGGACTCGTAGACACCCTGGGTGCACAGGTTGAATTTAGCGTAAAAGTCGTGACGCGAAAGAATCTCGGGGAAAAATCGTTCGTCGCGAGAAAAAACCCCGGTGACGTCAGATTTGACAACAGCCCGAAGGCGCTTGGATCCCGGAGGCTTTGGGCGCCTCTTGAGTTGCCGACGTGACGCCGACGCGACGGGAGACGTGTCATGCTCATGATGCCGGCGAGTTAAAAATACCGATAAGGGCCGGCTTTGCCGCAGCTCGAGATACCTGAATACGTTTTGATCTCAGTCAGGTGATCGGCTCCGCCCACTTTGTCTACGCCACCGCTGCCAAACGCCAACGGTAGTGGGTTACTAAACCACGAGCGAATTCTGACTTGCGAATACGTTGATCGCGGGCACTGAAAAAAGAGTTACGGGCTATATAGACATTCTGTCCGCGACGGGCTCAGAGGCCGAAAGTTCCGGGTGCTGGAGACGCACTGAAAAAAAATTCTCGACGTTTTTACCAAGGTCCGTTGGTACCTTTACCATCTCACTTTTTTTTTACCAATTATTGGTAATTTTACCAAGACAGACCGGTAAGCCTACCTAAAAACCGGAATTTTTACTGTCTTTTTCAGGTAAGAATACCACTTTTATTGGTAATCAATGCCCGGTAACTTTGCCATTTTATCTCGGTAATTCTACCACAGTCGATAAAAAATATTGGCGTTTTTACCAAGGTCCAGTAAAATTACCGAGAAAGTTCAATAATAAAATTACCAATTCCATAAATGGTAATTTTACCAAGAAAAAACTGGGATCAAATAGAATCCTGAATTCTTGGTAATTTTACTCTTTTCTTAGTAAATACACCGAGATTTTTTTTTCAGTGCGTAGCCTCGACTGTTCCGGGTGCTACGCCCGGAACGCAGATAGTATGTATATCAGAGTTCGAAATTCAAAGGTGCCAACGCGCCTAAGAGGTCGGCCGTGACGCCTAAAAGTTAAAGGCTCTGCGCCAATTTGGCCCCAAATTGCCCCCCCCCCCCCAAAAAAAAAACATTCTAATATTTCTGTTTGGTGATTTTTTTATTTGACGCACTGCACCGGATTCTAACCTTTCACTAAATGGACCGAATAAGAAAAGAAACAAACCACATCAGCTATTGCCAAATTTAATTGAGCAATTTAATTTTTTTCATGAAAACGGTTAAGCGGGTTTTTGTGCAAATTTCAGTGAAAATTCTCCATAGTTTGAAGCAAATTCCCTAAAAATTTTAAAGGAATCCACACAAAAATTCTCTCGTAAAAAATTTAATTGCCCCGTTAAATTTGGCAATAGCTGATGTGGCTTGGTTCCTATCTGTTAAACTCTTTCAAAATGTGCCGAGATACATGGGCAAAAAATCATCTATGGCCCCTAAAAATCGAGCTTGATGGGCTGCATGGCTACTGAAACGCAAAGGTTAGTTTCAAATACTGGTATATATAGCCTGTAAGTACGGCGTCCACAGCCAGAGTTTTCCTTCAATGGGTAAATGACGCGCAGAACACGATACGCACATTAAAAATGCGAAAACGTGACTTAGAAAGCGAGTAATACGAAATTAAAAAAGTGCATCTTTTTCCGCAAATTTAAAACGCCCCAGTTTCCCGCCGAACCGAATGTAGTCATCCGGGTCCAAGCAGAAGCAATCACGGGTTCCTAAGATTTGCGTCAAATGTCTTCTTACGCCTCTTATGTGAATACAGAGGGAAAGTCGAAACCATGGATCGATTTCGATGGTGGTTCGATCTGTCGTTTGGTGCAAAACAATGGGGACATATACTCAAACAAAAATTTTGGGATTCAAGTAGAAAAAGCTGAAAATGAGAAATTCCTGACGGTTTCACTTTTCATTGCCCTGCTATACCTACTCATAAGAATCAAAACTCCATCAAAAAATCCGCACTGGTTCCCTCAGATTACTCAATTGACTTTAGAGGCTATGTTTTCATGTTGAACCGATCGATACCAATGCAATCTCACATTTTGATGTATCGAATACGATCCATCCCTTCAGATTCGAAACGAATTTGAGTCATACAAAGTCTTTCAGAATGAAAAAGAAGCAATGGTGCACGTGTTCCGAAAATTTTCCAGTCTCCAGTATAATCCATGAACAAAATAAATTTTAAGTTTTTACGAACTAAAGTCTCTTAGGTCCCCACGATCGGTCACTTTTACGTGATAAAACAAGAAGCGGCTATTTTATATTACATTGAGATCTGACAAATGCGCTTTTAAAGTTTTAAAATCACCGCCTCTGCCTTCTCTTCTCCCACTATCGCAGCGAAACTGATACCATTCGACTGAGTCAAATCGAGAGCTTTTCCCGGAATTACTTCAACGCTATACAGAGAAAGCATTAGCTGTGATGTGAAAGACTTACAACGTGGCAACCCTTAATTTTCCAAGCGGGAGTAGGAGGTCACCTCTGATTGGCTGATGTTCCCCACCAGTTTTGGCCAGTTACGACTGGGGAGTTCAGTGCAAGTGGACCGTGGAACCCTTTTTAAAAGATTCCAGTGATCCAAGACGACTCTACATCAAAGTTCATCGCGAGGATTACATTGTCTACGGTAGTAAAGAGGACTGAATGATCAACTATCGATATATCCCCATTCGAAGGTATGGTAAAGAATCGATTATTAAGGTGTTAGTTGTGAACACCATGTCTATCGATCCTTTTTCATGAGTTTAAACCGCAGATCAATCGATATATCGCAAAACACGCCACGCCACTGGCCAGTGGTTGTTCAGAAATTCGATTAAAATAAAACACGAGACGAGTAAAACTGTGTAACGTTGCGATATAAATAGGCATTTCTTCCGTGTGGTCACCCAAATGTGACTTGATTTACGAAATGCGTTCATGGGATAACTATTCGACCACAAGT